CCATTATCAAACCAACACAAAAGACATTACATTTTCATTCAAACAACAAGTACCAACTAATCCATAACGTTAAGAGTAAAGTTTAACAAAAGACCAACAAAATCAATATAAATCACAAACAAAAACCACATAACCAAGAACAAACATAAGCTCGGAAGGTCCTATGGTCAAAAATATAGAATTGGTGAGCCTTTTTTGTTTCTCGTACCTTGAAAAGAGGGTATCAGTGACCATCTTTATCTTATTGTTACTCTTATTTTCTTTATGAATATAAGCCAATGCTCTTTTCCTTTCTACATTTGGTGGAATTCTATGCAATAATGCATCATTTTGTTTCTCGTACCTTTACATTGACCATCTTTACCTTATTGTCGCTCTTATTTTGTTCGTGAAGATAAACCAATGCTCTTTTCCTTTCGACACTTGAAGGAATCTTATTCAAATTGTTCATGATTTTGGTCCTTGCTTCTTGATATGAAGTAAGACACAATTTTTCAACATGAAGAACTAACTTCCTTTCTCCTCCATTTTTGAATATCGTCCTTATAAGGCATTGCACGTTGTGTGTTATACTCTCCAATAGTCATGTTCAGGTTGTTGTCGTTAAAGGTCCATCTAAAGGATTAATAAAAGTTGTATTTGTTCTAAAATTTTACATGAATTACAAATATGCAAAATAACATTTTCCTATAATCATGACCATTTAACTCTAATCATGACTCTCTTAACCCACCTTAGTTATGCCTAATTTATCTATTTGACCAAGAAGGAACAAAAGAGTCTATTCACTACTAAAATTTCATATCGTTTTAGTGCAACAAATAACTCTGGTGGTATTAACTTCTTTATATAATCAATAAACAAAGGTTAATTTCACCAAAAGATCCAAAAATAGAATCCCATTATCATCATCAACATCAATTGGCAAGAATGTTGCTCTACAGTGACTACCTCATGTTAGTAGTTAAACACGATATCTGGAAGGACCAAGAAAAATAAAACCCTATTTTGATATGGAAATATAAATCTTATTAGTGTGTGGAGTAAGAATGAAAATGAAGGAGCAGTTAATTGGCCTCTCTCTATCGGTCAGACAGTTCATAGCATACATGAATCTCAACAAATACATCAGTTATGACATATAGATCATTGTCGAGTTATCAAATATGGTGGAGGTTCTTGAGGAACGATTTGAGAGGAGGAAGTATATGCTACAATGTATAGAGGAATATTAAAAGTTCACTGTAGGTTTAGAATGTTTTTGTGTTGTAATATAGAAGATTTACAGTTTAAAGCTTAGTCATTCACTTCTTGTATTTTATTTCGATCAACTAATATATAAATAAAGAGTTTTGTGTATTCTTTTGTTTTTGATACTCTTGTTTAGAAACACAAAGGTGAGTTTTTATCTCAAATTTGAACTTTAAAGAACTTGCCATTTGAAAACCCTAGTTGAAGCCTTGAACCCCTTTTTGAATTCTTCTGAAAATCATAGGTAAGGAAGTGCGTGAATAGGTGAGTTTTTACCTTGGATTTGAAGAACCTTCTTAAGATCATACTACGGTGGAAAAACAAACTGGAATGGGAGAGGTTTATTAACCTCTAAAAATATGAAAGAAAGAGGAAAACGAGGTCAACAAAGGAGATGATAAAGGGTCAAGATGAGAGGTAAAAGTTTGGTGCTCATGTGCGAAGCTACGTATGCATTTAGCCCTATTCATATGGTGACGTGGAAAGCCATGTAAGCTAGGGAGTCCACCTAGAATAAACTAACGGCTTCATTTGGACGACATTGGCCAAAAAGATCAGACATGCAAGAAAAATAAACCACAAGGACCAAGCGCATAAGAGTTCCAATTGTTGTCCTGAAGTAGCCTGTTTTGGCAAACCATAAGGTCCGTTCCCATAATTTTGTTTAATTCTTATATTTTAGAATCCTAATGATTAATTTTTAAGATAATTCAAACACCAATTATTACTTACTAGTTACTAGTTGTACGATATTTAACTATTCATTTTATATAAAAGTTCAATTGAAAAATACTTATGCATTTAACATCCATTTTGACTCATTATGTCATCTAACTACTTATGTAATTGGAATTTATACAAATACAATATTATGATTTAGTACAAGTTAGATGTTGTAGAATACACACTTAAACAAAAGTATAGTTTGATCATGAACACAATGAATGATTGATGAGGGACAAAAAGGTAGCGTCCCTTTGCGGGTCAAAGGGGAAACTCCAAGTAAATTGTTGGAACAGTTTTATTATAAGAATTGAAATTGAAAAAGGGAAAATATATGCATCGAAGAACCTTCTAACTTCTTATGCGTAATCAACACATGATCCCTTTTTATCTTTCGGTGCCTTCTGAACGTCTATAGACAAATGATTTTTTTTTTGGTTTAATTAGGCAACTTCTGAAACTTTAGAAACGCACAAGGCAATGCATCTTCTGAAAACTTCATAAGGTGAGAGACATTCTGAATTGGTCAAATATAATAAATCTCATCTCACTATCTGGTTACTATTTCTAACTTTCAGAACCACTTGGGTTGTGGTGACTTTGTAAGGCATGTGGAAGATATGGTGGATAACCTATTGACCCATGTTCAAATCCTGGCACCACTCAGCCCTTGTGGCCATGGAGGTTCGCCTACAGTGACTCCAGGGCATGAAGCAAAGCTTTATGTTTGCAGCGGGGGATTAGTCGGTGCGTGAAAGTTGGCCCGGAAACCCTCGTTAGGGAAGTTCCCTTTCATAATTCTAGTTCATCGCTACTATTTTGTGTCTACAATTGCAAGTGTCGTCTAGTGGATTATTATCATGTTTTGAATATTAGGAGACCTAGGCATATAGCCAAAATATTAACAAAAGAAAATAAACTTTACACACATCTATAAGATATCAAATAACTTTGATTATCTTGTTGAGCATTTTTTTCATCCCCCTCTTCTCTAACATGTTATATTTCCTTAATTACCATGGTATTCTTTTAAAAGTATTTAAGCAAATGTGGACTAGCTCACTTGATAGAGGTTTTGAGGCTTAGATTGATGGGTCCGAGTTTAATTTGGATGTTGACGAATTCTACTAACTTTGAGATATTAACTTCTAATCACTAACTATCCATTAAAAAAAAGCTATCGAGAAAATTAGTACACTAACCATTTTCCTTAATGACATATTTAGTGTTAGCCAAAAATTAACATTTGTCCCATCATAACCATCCACACCATAGGTGTGTCAAATGGTCTATTGTTTCGCCTAAATGGCCTATGGTTTTGACTTCAATATTTAAGGAATTTTTTTTCATTACTCAAAATGAAACTGTAGATCTTAAATGGTCTACGGTTTCTTCTCGATGGTCTACTGTTTTCCAAACTGTATACCTTAAAATGGTCTATTGTTTCATAAAAAAAAAAAAAAAAAAAAAAAAAAAAAAAAAAAAACTATGACTTTTGGTTTTCTTTATTTATCCATTTGTTAGAAGTTGACTATTATTTCATGCATTTTAACTACTATATGGGAACTAATATATATATATATATATATATATATATATATATATATATATATATATATATATATAATATATATATATATATATATATATAATATATATATATATATATATATATATATATATATATATATATATATATATATATATATATATATATACTGCAAACCCATTGATTTGGAATGGCTAATGATAAATATTATTGGTATAATATTTATTAGATATTACAAAAAAAAAAAAAAAAAAAAAAAAAAGATCTTAACATAATTAAACTTAAAATAACAAGGAGACTCAATAACGAATTACATAAACTAAAAATATGAGATTTTAAGAGATTTCAAACATGTTTTTATGAAAAATCAACCCGTTATTATTTTGTTTGTATTCCACCTTTGTCAGTGGCAAAATCATTTGTTCATCAATCCAATAATTCATTGTCAATCTTATGATAAAGTAACAAACTCAGTGATAAGCAATACGAAATACTCACAACTCATACTAACATTTTTGAGAGAAAAAATCAAGAAAAAAAAACAATAACTTTTACTTTAAAAAATGTCATTCGTTTAATATTTACTAGGTACGATATAGTAGTTAAAATGGACGAAGTAGTACTCAACTTCTAGTAAATTAATAGCAGTCAAATAGCAAAATAATAATATTAATAATATGAATAATAATAATAATAATAATAATAATAATAAATAATAATAATAATAATAAACCAAAACCGTAGCTTTTTTGATGAAATAGTACATCATTTTAAGGCATTTTAAGGTCTAAGGTTTAGGAAACAGTAAACCACTAAAAGAAAATTGTAAACAGTTTTAAGATTTACGGTTTCGGTTTTAGTTATAAAAAAATCCTTAAATATTGAAGCCCCAAAACCATAGATCATTTAAGTGAAACAATAGACTTCTTTACACACCTATGGTTTGGGTGGTTATTTTGAGACAAAATTTAATTTTTTGCTAAAAATGATAAGTCAATTAAAGAAAATGGCTAGTTTAACAATTTTCTCTAAAACGATAATTACTCTTTATTATTATGTTGTTAATTTCATCACGCGGGCGTACTCCTTGCTTCTGGGGACATTGATCCGAAGCTCGAGTACGGTCCGTGCACCGTTTTTCTTCTCTACCATGACGAATCAATTGATTTAAATTTTATGGAGTGATCCATCATTCCATTGGCTTAACATTAAGTACTAAAAGCATCTCTAGGCCATTATTATCATCATAGACAGATCCAAGGGGATCCCGGGATATCCTCAAAAAAAATTTGGTAGTTTAATTTTTGTTTACGAATCTTTTAATTTTTTTCGATATACTGTATATATACGCATCCTTTCGATTATAACACAAAACAAATAGTAAAACTACCGGTTAAGATGCTCGTTTATTGGGATACCCTTTTACTTTGGTCCTGACTCCACCATTAATACTTTTATTTTATCCTCATATGAAATATTATCCTCATAATTTTGAAGCTATTGTATATACGGTTCAATTGTGGGTGACCTAATACATGCTTGTTCAATAACTTCAGTAATAGTTTTATTTTATTTTTGAGTTTAGTAAGAATTTGGTTTTAGATAATGAAGTATGGACTTCTAATAAAACCTTAGCTATTAGAATCCTAGACGTACAATTACATATTTCTTGTCAAAATTGCTCTTCCTTCACACACAAAAACACACTTTTTCTCACTTTTCCCATACGATATAAAGAACAGCCAAATCTCTAACTCACAATCCACACAAGGCGATTGCTTCAAGACCCATTTCTCTCTTCAATCACACAGTAGAACACAGCAATGTCAGGCGGCGGAGCAAAGGTGTTGTTGGTGGCGGTGGTTATTGCCATGGTGGCGAGCGTATTCCTTAAAACGGAGAGTGCAGTGACTTGTCAGTTGGTAGTGAGTAGCCTAACTCCATGCACGAGCTTCCTGATTAAAGGAGGTCATGTGCCTAAAGCATGCTGTAACGGGGTAAAGTCGCTGTATAAGGACGCAGATACAGTTACTGATCGCCAGACAGCCTGTCGATGCATGGAACAAGCAGCATTAATGCTCCCAGGGATTAACATCGATCATGCTACTGACTTACCTGGGAAATGCGACGTTTATATCCCTTACGAAATCAGCCCTCTGTTCAACTGCTCCACGTACTGCATCTCTTACCCACACTAACACTAATATATTGCATGAGTCGTATTATACTTTAGATTGTTGTGCATAGTGATGAATATATTTTGAATTTGTGTTGCAGTGTACAATAGAAGTATGGCTATAGGTGAAGGAGGACGTATAACACTATAGCGTGATGAATAATAACTAACGGCGAAGTTCCATTAGTCTAAGCTAGCTAGAATCCACTAGCTATGTTGTTACTACTTACTAGTAGTGTTTTCTCCTTTAAAACTTGCTTTCTCTATGAAAAAGTATATATAAATATATATTCCATTGTGTTATATCGATTTCCGTTATTGTGTATTCTCGAGTTGCAGAAATCCGTCTTTATTTCTTTCTTATCATATCCAAAGTAGATGGAATCGATAGCCTAATCTTCCCTTTAAACATAAACATAAGTATTTTAAATCGTTATATAAATATTGTGGATATCAAATTAATTTTATGTTTGCTAGTAATGATGAGTCACTATTTTGAAATCAATGTTATTGGTAGTTACAATTAACATGATTAGTTCAATAATGATTAGTTCAATAGTTATTGATAAAAATATATTTTAGATAGATAAAATTACAAAAATGGTCCCTATAGTTTATTAAAAGTTACAAAGTTAATCTCTGTTAATTTTTTTATGTAAATGGTCCTTGTGGTTTGCAAACTTGCAAAGTTGGTCATTTTTACTAACACCGTTAGTATATAACCGTTAGGGACTAAATCTGTAAGGGTATTTTTATCTTTTTAAGTATAAAGGGATTAAATTCGTAACATTTAATAAACCACAAGGACATTTTTGAAGTTTGTTTGAAAAAAACAAATTAATTGACTGAAAGAAGGGGGAATGCTTGAACTTGAGACCTTCATCCCCTAAAATAACAAAAGGCCTTAACCATTTGAGCTGAAAGCTCACTTGGTTATAACTTCCTAAAACTAACTTATATAATAATAAAATCGTTAATACATAAATAATAAATAAATTATTAAAAACATTTTTATTACATAATTTTTTTTTAAATAAAACAAAATTTATTTTAGTCGTATTATAAAAATAATAGTTTTTTTACAAAAAAATCGTATGTATTTTTTATGTATTTATTTCACATAAAATATATTTTATTTATATATTTAAAAAATACGTTTCGTATAAAAAATACGTTTTTCTAAAATATTTTTTTATGTCTTTGAAATAATAATAATTAACACTACTCACGACATAAAAAAAAATATAAATTCTTTTGGGTCGCTAGTTCTAAAATACGTATTTCATCTTATTTAAAACACATATTTCATCTTATTTAAAATACGTATTTCATCTTTTTTTAATTACATATAACCGAAAAACAGTTTTCAAAAAACTGACTGGACCAATCGGTTTTCTGAAAACCGTTTTTCGGTTATATGATTTTAAAAAAACTTATTCGGTTATGTATCTTATTTAAAATACGTATTTCATCTTAATTGTAAGTTCTAAATCATATGGTTAAAATGAAGATGAAAATAAATAGTTATATAGCTTTTTGAAATAACGATAATTAATAGTATACTTGACATTAAAAAAATACCGTATAAATTATTTAAATACATAACAAAATTGTTGTTAAGTTGTTTTTAATACATATAACCGGAAAAAAAAACGGTTTTAGAACTAGCGACCCAAAATAATTTATATATTTTTTTATGTCATGATTAGTGTTAATTATTATTATTTCAAAATTATTTCAAAGACATAAAAAAATATATTTTATGAAAACATATTTTTTATACGAAAACGTATTTTTTAAAGATATAATATATATATATATATATATATATATATATATATATATATATATATATATATATATTATGTTAAATAAATATATAAAAATACATATAAATTGTTTGTAACAAACTATATTTTTATAATACGACTAAAATAATTTTTTTTTATTTAAAAAAAAATTACGTAAAAAAATGTTTTTAATAATTTATTTATTATTTGTGTATTAACGTTTTTGTTATTATATAATTTGGTTTTAGAAGGTATAACCAAGTGAGCTTCCAGCTCAAATGGTTAAGTCCCATTATCATTTTAGGGGGGGTGAAGGTCTCAACCCCCTTCCTTCAGTCAATTAATTTTTTTTTTTCAAACAAACTTTAAAAATAGTCCATTTGGTTTATCAAATGTTACGAATTTAGTTCCTTTATACTTAAAAAGATGAAAATGCTCTTACAGATTCAGTCCCTAACGGTTATATACTAACGGTGTTAGTAAAAAAGGGCCAACTTTGCAAGTTTTGCAAAGCACAAGGACCATTTTGCATCAAAAAAAATTAGTAGGGACTAACTTTGTGACTTTTAGTAAACCACAGGGACCATTTTTGCAATTTTGTCTTTTAGATAGTATCAATAACAATATAATGAATATATTTCATGATATAAGACATAGTAGGTATAATTATAAGAAAACTAATATAGTTATTATATTTATGTTTATTTTATTTTTATGTATACGATCCGACCCGCAACTAGTATTTATTACTCTTTCATTTTTTTCGGTTTCACATAATTTGAGAATCACATGGTTTTCGGTTCTAAATTCTTTGGTGTGTTGCTATAGCCTTGGTCAAATAGCCACGAGATGGTGCAAGTAATAAGAAAGTAGAAAAGAAAGACGTGGATCACAACAAAAAACCTAACCTTTAGCGGTGACAAAAATCTTCGCAATTGATTCCACTTGTCGTCGCTAAAGGTATTAGCGACGACATGTCGTAGCTAAAGGGTCGCCGCAATTCCTTCGTAGTTAATAGCCGGTTGTTGCCGCAAATACCGTCGTATCTAATACTTGTCGTCCCTAATACACTAACATCGTCGCAAATAAGGTCGTCTCTATTAAGTCTTTAACAATTGAACAAACTACCAAGCTACCAAAAATTAGTACAAATACATTAAGTTCTTACCAATATATACCAAAATCTTTAAGAATTTAACAAGTATCTGTGTTGGTTGCGGTGATTGTGACTGTGACTGCCATTGGGATGAAGCACATATACCCGCAGCTGAAGAAGGTTTAGGCCCAATGCCTCTCATATGCCCCCTTCGTGTACCCAACACCTTTTCAAATATTACGATCCAATCAATGGTGTTTGGATTACCACCAGAGTCGGCTATGTGATGAGTCTGTAGAGCAACCTTAGCAACCAAGGCATTCTGTATTTCACAAAGATTGTTAATATACATTAAAACTAAAACAAAAGAAAACAATTTACTTTATTTTTAAGTAATAATAACTTGCATATTGGTCTTCAACCAAATGATCAACAAATTCGTCTTTTTTTATTCACATGCGCACGATGAAATGCTTCAAGTCTATTCAAATTATGTTTAACATTACAAAATATGTTATACTAGAATAAACATTAAAAAATATGTTATAACTAAATAAGCATTATCATAACTTACTTTCTTAAAACAAGCACTACTGTAGTTGTACGTCCCTCTATGATTCTTAACTACTTGCTTTTTCCGACATTCTTTGTTTCCGGTGGATCATTTTTGATGTTTTTCTATTAAGAAGTGGTCAATAGCAGCATTCCAAAGCTGCAGGTCCATACCCGTAGGGGCTTGAGCCCTTGTTGCCTCCACATCGCCTGCAAATCAATGAAACGATTTTTTGCAATATTTTTGCGGCCTTTATACCGCGTAGATATCCGATTGTTCAGTGAGAAATGTGTGTCATTTTCTAGTGCCTAGTAGCCGTCCGATCTAAAAATAATTGAAGGGTCACAATGACTTTCACGTGGATCGCTATCAATAGCGGCAAGATGTCGTCGCAATTGGCGTCACCGGTATTGCTGCCTACCAAAAGAAACCCTAACCGACGGATAACTGTAGCAGCCTACGGTCAAGATTAAATGGCGTGTGGCAGAAGAGGATCAACGGTGGAAGTCCTTTAGCGATGACAGAGCATTTAGTGACGACATTATCTAATGTCGCCGCCAAAGCCTATAGTCGTCGCTAAAGCTATCGTCCCTAAAGGGCTTATTTCTTGTTGTGAATAGCTTACATGAAAAAAAAAATAATAAAGATAAATTTATTAAAAAAATGTTAACTTTATAAATTTGTTAAAAAAATAAATTTTTAATAATACAATTGATATTGGAGTGGCTTCGAGGTTTGCTTTTGTTAGAAAAATGATTGAGCTGCATGACACGTATTTAGGTAAATAATTGTTTTATAAATCATACTCTATTAGAAAAGGTTTGTATATTTGCAATATTAAACCTAGCTTGTTCTATTATTTTCATTACCCTATTACAAAAGGTTTGTATATTTGCAATATTAAACCTAGCTTGTTTTATTATTATTATTTTCTTTTTATTTTTGTTATATACTTTATGTTTAGCATGTTGGTTTCACATTTACACATATTTGACATTTAGTTAAATGCTTGTTTCAAAAGTTGTAAACAATATCGATGAAAAACATTTAGACATATTTCCCATTTATATGGTATTTGGTTTCATATTTAGACATATTTATATTTACTTAAGTAGATGATTCAAAAGTTGTAAAAAAATATCGATGAAAACAATGAAACTTTTATTATTAAATTTAATACTGCGGTCTAATTATTTATTTTATTTTATTATATATAAAAATTTTATGGATATAAGTAACCTAAATTATAGAATCTCATGAGTATTTACGGACACAATCTACCACAATTTTTTTTTTGTATTACAGTAAATAAAAAAGTGTTATTAACATCTTTAAGCCTGTAACCAAAAATAGCATTAATGATATTTTTAATGCCACTAAATATTTAAAAAGTATCACTAAAATCTTAAAATACATAACTAAAATTTTTATTATTTTTTGTTCTTTATTGATTCATTTTTGTGCCAATAAATGACATATTTTTTGTAACTTTCATGTTATAGTTTATAGTCATTTAAATATTTATTTAAGTTGTTTTACTATTGTTTTTTTGTGTAGATACCAAGTTAATCTTTCTTTCACTTTAACTAGAGTTGATGGTGCATATCTTCGTTCTCAATCTTCTTCTCCAACCAAGCTTAACAGTGTTAAAAATGTTTAAGAATTGTAGGCGTTCTCAATCTTCTTCTCCAACCAAGCTTAACAGTGTTAAAAATGTTTAAGAATTGTAGGCTTTGTCTCTGCAAGCATTGGAACACTTCTTGATGTTGATCAAAGAAGTACTCAAAGAAGAGAAGCACTTGTATAGGTTTGTAATCTTAGCTTACTTTATTAAATTGAGTTTTAATATTATATTGTTTGCTTAAATATGATTATTTGATTAATTGATTCTATGACTTTAATGTTCCTGCAACATCTCAAAATACTTTATATGTATCAAGTTTATTGAGGTGAATAATGTTCCTGCAACATCTCA